TCTTTGAATCTCATTATCTGCTCCAAATGGTTGTCAAACACTGACCACCATGTGCTGTCAACCAGAAAGAATTCTGTTGAAAACTTGTGATTCAGCTGATGAAGCTGATGTCAAGTGAAAACCAGCATTAGTCAGGTAGCAATCATAGTTTTTACCGTCTTTACTGTAGCTACATTCTGACAATCAAACATTTTCTTGCGTGCAGCTGGTTTAAGGTCAATAAAAAATCCATTGTGCTATTTGTGGGTGTTGCTATTTATAGATGTTGTACATTATAGTGCTGAGCTCAAGCTTTATAAATTTAATTAAATATTTGCACAGAATTGACAATTTAAACCTTTTTCAGCCAATAAGAAACAAGCTTTTTAATTACTAAAAAAATAAAGCAAAATTCATTATTTCTTTTTCTTTATTAGTAGGAAAAAAGATGGTTTTTGTTATTGAGTTATGTTTAATAGTTGAACAATCGTAATTGTTTAGGTTGCACTCAAAGATCAGGCAGGCAATCCTCGATCATCCAGATTTCATTTAGAAAGCAGTCTAAAAGGGGAATCATTGAATGAAGACAGTGAAGATGAAAACGAAGATGATGATGAAACGGCACCACAGTGGTTCAGACAGCTTCCAGGTTATGAGAGTGGAGAAGAGCTTGATGTAGGAGAATCTGTAGAGGTATTTGTAAATCAAAAATAAATAACTTTATTTGAGTGCCAATGTATTTAGTTTGTACAACTAATTAATTTGGGACACTGAAATGAAACTGAAATGAAGAAATAATCAAAGAAACAAAGTGTTTTTAAGAATCTCAACTGGAAAGGAGGCAAACCAGTTGGCTATTTACAAGCATGGTCGAGAAACTGAATCTGAACTAATCAGGAATCAGGACAAATACAGTCAGGTAGTGGCCACAGCGGTACTCGAACCCAGCACCACCGAATTGTGAGACCAATGCTATGACCACTTGCAGCCTCACCAAACACGTTTCATTCAAAAAACCTAACCCTAACACCACCCCTTGACTGATCTAAGTCAGGGCATGGCTAACTCACATATTAACCCTGAAACAACCTCTGGGCTGATCTAAGTCAGGGCACGGCTAACTCACATATTAACCCTGAAACAACCTCTGGGCTGATCTAAGTCAGGGTACGGTTAACTCACATATTAACCCTGAAACAACCCCTTGACTGATCTAAGTCAGGGCATAGCTAACTTACAGATCAAACCCTGAAACATCTCTGGACTGATCTAAGTCAGGGCATGACTAACTCACAGATCATCAAACCCTGAAACAACCTCTGGGCTGATCAAAGTCAGGGCATGGCTAACTCACAGATCCAACCCTGAAACAACCTCTGGGCTGATCTAAGTCAGGGCAGGGCTAACTCACAGATCAAACCCTGAAACATCTTTGGACTGATCTAAGTCAGGGCATGACTAACACACAGATCAAACCCTGAAGCAACCTCTGGGCTGATCTAAGTCAGGGCATGGCTAACTCACAGATTGAACCCTAAAACAACCTCTGGGCTGATCTAAGTCAGGGCATGGCTAACACACACATTGAACCCCGAAACAACCTCCGGGCTGATCTAAGTCAGGGCATGGCTAACATACAGATTGAACCCTGAAACAACCTCTGGGCTGATCTAAGTCAGGGCAGGGCTAACTCACAGATCAAACCCTGAAACAACCTCTGGGCTGATCTAAGTCAGGGCATGGCTAACTCACAGATCAAACACTGAAACAACCTCTGGACTGATCTAAGTCAGGGCATGGCTAACTCACAGTTCAAACTCTGTGACAATTAAATAACAAGGGCAGGCACAGTATTAACATCCCTGAAATTACGTAATTTACTAATTCTGAATTTCCTTTCATAGGTAGATCCTGTTTCGCCCGCAGGAATTTTGAACGTGCCTAAACATTCCAGAGCATCAGGTATTGCAATACAAGGAATGGCTAGCCACCCCCTTCGCTCATATTTAATGTCAGGAGAAAGATTATAATTTTTTGAATAAATAAAACTCAAAACAGATAAAATATTTTCTTCAAAGGTTTGGTTAGAAATCGCCTTTAACTCTGTGATTTCCAAGGTTTCTTATAAACACTGCCCGAAAATGCCTCGTTTTACATGTCTGCGCTTACCACATTTATAAAAGCTCTCACGCATCTACGCATCTATTCTGGGCCTGGTTGTACGAAGAGTGGAAAGCGCTATCCGACGGATAAATATTATCCACTGAATAAATTTGTAGGTTAACAACATCACTTTATCCACTGGATAAGGATTTATCCGTCGGATAGCGCTATAAGGGACTTTAAGATTTGCAAAATCTACGACGGCGACGTCAACCGGAAGTGTAAATAATTTCTCTTTGGGGTTTCTGTTCATTGGAGATTTCATTCAGAACATTGCCAGTAAAATCAACTCATCCACGGGGAAGAGAAACTTTGAAGGCGATAAACCCTAAAGTGAAGTTATGTACACTTCCGGTAGACTTCGCCGTCGTAGATTTTGCAAATCTTCAAGTCCCTATTATAAAGAACGCGCGTTAGCTAATAAGATCGCAAGTGTTTTCGAAGTGACTGAAAGTTTTTTGTTATTCCTACTCTTTGAGGTTCGTATGCTTATATAACTAGTGTGAACCAGCCCTAAAGGTACAAAACCATGTACAATGTACTTTTGAAATAGGCCCTTTGCAGTTAACGGTCACGTGCCTGTACTGGTGAGCAAAATTTTTTATTTTATTTTAAATCGGTGATTCTTTTTAGCTTCTTGTAAAGAACTCAATGAAACGATGTGTAACCAGTGTGTTACGAAATGCAGTTTTGTTACGATCTCTCGAAACAGGTTGTAGAAATTTTGTTTGCTCACCAGTATATTTCACCCATGGGAATCAAGATGTTCATTCATTTGCTCTCAGTGAATTAATCAGCACGTGATTACTGAGCTGCAGAGGGCCTATTGAGACAGACCGGCGGACCTTGAATTGAAATAGGTAACATTACAGAACGCTTTTGTCTCTAACTTTTGTTTTTGTTTAGGTGCAAAACTTTTAGACCTTGACGCAACAACTGCAACTGAAGAAGAAGAGAGTGAACTATCACTGAAAGTAAATCTGGATCATTTTGGTGAAGTTAGTAAAGTCAATAATTTTTTCAATACATACTGAGGATATTGAGAAATGTTCAGTGCGAATGCGTGACATTTTAACTTCAGAACCTCATAACCTTATTAGTGGGATGGTGGTAAACAAATGTTCCTAGGGTTGTTATGTTGTCACGCGACGTTTCTCTCCCACGAAAAAATGAAAAATAAAAAACTTTGCGTGACAAAATGATGACCATGCCCTGACTTAGATCACCCAAGAGGTTGTTTCAGGGTTCGATCTGTGAGTTAGCCATGCCCTGACTTAGATCAGCCCAGAGGTTGTTTTAGGGTTCGATCTGTGAGTTAACCATGCCCTGACTTTGATCAGCCCAGAGGTTGTTTCACGGTTCAATCTGTATGTTAGCCATGCCCTGACTTAGATCAGCCCAGAGGTTGTTTCATGGTTGGATTTGTGAGTTAACCATGCCCTGACTTAGATCAGCCCAGAGGTTGTTTCAGGGTTCGATCTGTGAGTTAACCATTCCCTGACTTAAAACACCCCAGAGGTTGTTTCAGGGTATCGATAAAATCTGAGGGTTCCTTTCTAGATCCTAATATAAATGTTTTTAATCTAAAAAAAAATCCGAAACTATTTCCTCTTTATGCATGTCATTTTAACTTCTTTCTTTTCTTCACCTCTCTCTCCAGGGAAACACTGGTTCAAATGAAAGACAAAACACAGACAATCAAGGCCCAACATTGTCCTTAACCACCGACGTACCCCCTCCCCCCTTAGAACAGTACGTGTACACTGAAGGCTACCCGATAACCTCGTTAAGAGCATCTCACAACAGGAAAGCCTCAGAAACTCCTGTCTTAGCAACTAGCGCTGAAGACGTTCTAAAAGGTGCCATTATGGCAAGGCGAATTGGTGTTGATAGACCTAAACCGGACGATCCAAAAACACTGAGAGACGACAATAATGAGAGGCTTGCGATGGAAAGAATATGGTGAGAGTTCACCACGTTTTATTTGATTGAGCGTTATTTCTTTTTCTACTGGGTGAGGGGGGGGGGGAGGGGGAGGAGTTGTTACTAGACGTCTTTAATGGACTACTTCGACGATACGGCCAAGTAAGGTTAGCACGTGCCACCTACATCTACTGGCCCGCATCTCCTAGCCCCACACGCATCATGCATGCCACCAGATGTAGGTGGCACGTGCTAACCCCTTCTCGATACGGCGGCATTTTGGATCGCAAGGCATTATGGGGCGTCCAGGGGGGAAATAAAGCTTTTTCTGAAGCAATGACGTCGATTGATATTAACAGCTCACCACAAGAAAATACAACAAAAGATGCATTAAGACGGCACATCGATCACCTTTACCCATGAAAGAAAGACAAACACACGAAACTCTATATATTTTCCGTCATCTTTGTTTTGTTTTGTCCCCTGGCAAGATGGCCGCCGTAACGAAGTAGTCCATTTAGTAAAATTGTACTTGTTTTGTGAGGATAGCATTTAATAGCCAGATGCCCTTGTTCCATGATTTCATACGAAATCTCCCTACCCCAACAGTACAGCCATTGCCTTGATGGGCAGTTGACTTGTTCGTTTTCAGCAAATCACGTGCTATTCACGTTTCTCGTCTCGTGGAGCAGTTGTTAACAGATGCTGGTCTGTCATTGGAATGGAGAGATGTTATCATGCCTCTGGTGGCAGAGATAAGTGAAAAGGTACTAGATGTTCAACAGATGGAATAACCAAAAATTTACTAACGATGATCTTGCTATTACTGCTGGGAAAAAAATCAATATGCTATAAACAACAAACACCTTCATATCATCGTGTTCGTCAAAAGCATTTTCATTATTATTATCATCATTATCGGCACTCGTCATCATCAGCATTTTATTATCATAACCCTTATCAGCAGCACTATCTTCATCGTCGTCATCATCAACATTCTCAATAGTTTCATCACCATCAACATTATCGTCATCATGGTTGTCATCAGCAGCCTCATCATCAACATCAACGTACAATTTAATACCAAACGAAGTTACGTTAGAGATATAGTCTACGAATCCAGCCAGTTTACAACACACAAAAAAACATTGTTAAACGTTTTAAAATATTTTGCTACGCCATCGCTATGGTGACGGCAGACACGTTTCCTGGTGTCTCCCTATTTCAAAAAAGACAGCTCCATTTTTTGTCGACAACAAAATATAAATGAAAGTTATTAATAGTAAAATATTAATAATAAACTAATGATAATGATAGCATTAATAAATACTTTTCCCTTAACGTTTATGTTACAAGGTTGCCCCTGACGTGCGCAAAGACGATGACATGGATATACGACAGTACGTCAAGTTCAAAAAGATCCCAGGTGGCAAAAAGAGTGATTGCGAAGTTGTCTGGGGCGTTGGGTTTACCAAGAATGTCTCCAATAAAAAGATGTGCAATTCCTTTGTCAATCCGAGGATTCTTGTTCTGTGTTGTGCAATTGATTATCAGGTAGTGCATTGTCTTCACACTCGTTCACTCTTTCACTCGCAAGTAGCTCTAAGAAATATTACAATAACTTCCTCAGTCGCCGAACACGCCTCAGGCGTTTCTATGACAATCTATAGGCACAAGACCTTACAGCTTTGTGATTCCGACAATGTTATGGAATTGCCTTGTGATTGACGTCCACCCAAACCGCGCCGCTCTAGCGATTGTTTCTGTCATGACGAAGAAGGTTTTGGTGGACGTCAATCAAGGCGTTTCCATGACATTCTATAGGCACGTGCCCTTACAGCATTGTGTTTCCCGACAATTTTATAGAAACGCCTTGTGATTGATGTCCACCAAAACCTTCTTCGTTGCGACAGAAACAATCGCTAGAGGGCGCGTGTGATTGAGTTTCGAATTATCTGTTGCTCGGCCTTCGGCTTAGATTTTATGTATAACATTCCTTTGCTCCATTGAAAGTCCGTTGGGTTTTGTAGTCATGAAGTTGTACTTTACTTTACCGTTGGTATTTGGGCGATGACAACGTTTTGTGTAACAGGTGTAAATGCTATTCCATGTTGTTTCAGCGCAAAGAAAACAGATTGGCTTCTCTTGATCCTTTGATCCTACAAGAGAACGAATTCCTCAAGAACTTTGTCGCTCGGGTAGCGGCTTTAAGACCAAACGTGTTGCTGGTGGAGAAAACAGTGTCTCGTTTAGCTCAGGATATGTTGTTACAGCATGGTATTACTCTTGCCTTAAACGTCAAGCCGGTGGGTATTTGATAACTTCATTCGGAGACATTTATGCACACTTATACAAGGGTTTCTAGTCGCAAACAATGGGATATCCCACTTGTATATTCTTTTATACACTTCACCTTTAGACTGCGTTGCCGGCGGTCTGTGGTTGTTTTCGCAGGCTAACTCGCCTATGACTGTTTTACTCCGCACCCCTACATCTTTTTTCCAAGTCGTACTTACAGAAAAACCTTTTGCGACTTACTGGTTTTCAATTGCTTACACTATTGGTGTTACTGTGGATTTGGCGGGAACGACGTTTGCGCAAAAGGCGCGTTCAACCTTCCCGCCCCTGTTTTACCAATCACCCCTTCAAAATCAGGGGCTCTCGCCACGCTTCTGAGCCACAGACGCCTTTAAAGTGCTTTATTCGTGAGTATCGTGTCTTTTGATGTTCCAAGAGTGCTTAGAGGGAACTCAATGCTCGAGTTTCTAATACTCCTTTTTACAGTTCCATTCAGTGACCACGAATAATAGTTCCTAGCCGATGCTGAAGTTACCGCGCATGATAAACTGTAGTTTTGYTATGCGCGGAAACTCCAGCCTCGGCTAGGAATTATTATTCGTGGTCACTGAATGAAACTGTAAAAAGGAGTATTCTCTGTTGCTCAGGATTAGTCTCGACTTTGTGCAGAATATTCATGTCTTCCAGTGAAGGTCCGTGGAATTTCAGTGTTTGTATCGTTAGATTTGTGCATTCTTTACTTTACCGTTGGAAGTTGTGAATATTATGACACTGAAATATGGCGAATCCTGAGTAAATGAGTCTGGAATCATTTACGAATTCGAAAATGGTCTATTAACAAGATGGTCACTTCTGCTATGTGAGTGACTTTTACTGTCCAGCACTCCTTTAAATTTAGTGTAGTTATAACCAGTACATAATATATTATCCAATAGGAGGTTATAGAGCGTGTTGCTCGATGTACTAAAGCAGACATTCTAAGGTCAATGGAACAGCTAAGCTGTCCACATCTTGGCACATGTCAGCAATTCAGAGTACAAAAATACACTTTGAAGGTAATTTAATAATTAGGTTTATATTGTACAATGCTGGTTTTGTATTTCACGTTTCGTTTCGTTTCTTTTTTCTTTCTTTTTTTTTTTTTTTTTTTTTTTTTTTTTTTTTNTTTTTTTTGCCTTTTCATCCGATCTTTTCCAGCTCCTCCTCATCCTTTTGCTGTTATTGCGAAGTGCTGTTTTTGTTGCTGCTGGATTTTGTTAACTATACTTCTTGTGGTGGTGGTGATGATGGTAATGATGGTGGGATAACGGTACGGTGACGGTGACGTTGACGGTGACTGCACTAAGAATAGATACTAAGGATAGATCTTTGGGGGGTGGTGTGGGGAGAATCTATTGCTCCAGTCAACATGGCTGCCACTTCTTAGCAAAATAATCTAAACCTGAATCAGCTCTCTGTCTTTAACAGAATGGAGAGACAAAAACCCTAATGTTCTTCGATGGCTGCCCCCCTGAGCTGGGCTGTACAGTATCGCTACGAGGTGGCAACAGACTTGTCCTCGCTAAAGTCAAGAAGATCGTCCAGTTTGTGACATACGTTTCATACAGTCAGAAACTAGAGACGGCCTTCCTTATGGACGAGTTTGCTCTTCCTGAAAAACCAATGTATCCTAACGATAGCTCATCAACTTCAATTAACGAGAATTCAAACACAGAAACAATCAAAGAAGCAGAAGAAGGAAATTGCGATCTCGATACAAAGGAGAGCTTGAACGAGGCTGTGATTTTCCAGCAAGCTCTTGATCGTACAGTTCTGTCTACCTCTCCCCACGTGAGATACCCCCTCCCTTATCTACTTACACCAGAAGGCGTCAGGTGTGCTGTGAGGCCACGTCTTCCTAAGGAGATCTACTGGTCTGCCCGACTAGCCAATGAGAAGCAAGGCAGTTGTCTTACTGAGAAGGAGCTTGAAGAGTTCGAGCTTCCTAATCTCAAACGTAATGTCCACAAAAGTGTACAAATCCTTGAAGCTCATCCATTCGTGTGCCCTAGTGTAGTGGTCAATAGTAATGATCAGTTTATACTAGGGGTTGTAGCAGATTTTAGATCTCAGGGGGGTCGTATTTTTCTGAAGAGACGCAATGTTGAATCTGATGGACGACGCAAGTCTAAATGGCTTATAATGGAATCTGAGGATGAGGGAAAAGAGAATGAGTTTGATACTGTGGATGGTAAAAAAAGAAAGGACTCAAATACTGAGAAAAATGGCCGAAAGATCAGCTCTTTAGATGTCAAGTGCAGAACTCAAGATGGTCTGGCTTCACCTGTTCACTTTAACAGGAAGGTCAGTCATTCTGATTGTTATTAGTTTTTATTTTTTTCCGGTCCGTTTTTCTTGAATAGTCCATCAGTGCTACTTAGTCCACATTAGTGCAAGTGGCACCAGCGTAGGGAGGGTGGGGCAAGGGGCGGTACGTGCTCCCCCCCCCCCCCCCATCTTAAATTTCTGGGTTCCCGCTACGCCCCTGGCTAGTTACATAATACTGTTTCACAGATATAATGTGCACTCTAGTATTAAAAAATGAAACGTTATGTAAAGTAAGGCRATTGAAATTTTAAAGAGTAAAAGTTGAAAGCTTGTACTGTTCCCATACCACCCCTTACGTCTGTCCTCAGTCATGTGATCTTTTTCATAGCTTCCCCTTTATGTTCCCTTAAGCCTTTTCTGAGTTTGATAACCACGATACGTTGTGGTCTAGCTAGAGTACAAACAACACCCTATAGGGCATGATGAACAAAAGRTGTTTGTACCCACGCTAGACCAGAATGCACCATGTCCGCTATCTCAGGAAAGGTCTATGCATGATGTACTTTTGATCCTTTGAGACCTGACAAATTTCAGTTAAAAGATTTGACACATTTTTATATTCCAATGTAGATTGATTGTCTGGACCCCATCCATCATCAACGTATAGCGGTGCTGTTTAGTAGCTACTCTAGTGAATCAAATAACTCTCCTCGTCCGTGTATAAGCCCTTGGTAAGTACGAAAAAAACCCCATAACCAGAGGAAGCCCAACTCTGCATTTTATTAGAATCACGTGCCGTCATTCCTTGTCACACAAAAATAGGCCCTTTCACTGTTTCCTCCGCCAACTTGAAAGGTAGCCGTTTGGCATCGAAGCGAGACGAACGGTGATAGAGACCTTTTTAACACCTTGGACATTTATTCACGTCTCTATCATTGCAAGCTCACCGTTCGTCTCGCTTCGATGCAAAGGCCCTGCTACCTTTCAAGATGGCGCACGGAACTGTGAAGGGGGCTATTTGCTTATTTCATGTCYCTATAGCAATCTTTACTAACGATGTCACTCTTAGTGATTTGTAGATTGTTTCTAAGCAAAGAACTCAAATTACCAGCTTGCATTAAAACTTTTGTTCACCATTTACACAATTTACAAGTTTGGGCTTCCTGTTTTATAGATGCGTCCCTTCTACAGGCACAGTACTTAGCAATGTCATCGCTTAACTATTGATGTTGTCTTTGCTTCTTTCAGGGCTGTATTTATGGAGTTTTACGGAAGGAATGATATCACTCTTGGGGGATTTCTTGAAAGATACTGCTTTAGGTAATTAAAATAATGAAAACCAATAAAATCTACGCATTTTTTGTTTTATACAGTGCTTAGAAATTGGCGGAATGACCTTTCATCACCATCTTAAAAAGTAAACGTGCTCTTGCATTGAAGTGAGACGAATGGTGAGCTTACAGTGATAGAGACATGTGAATAATTGTCCAATGAAGTTGTTAAAAGAGGTCTCTATCACTACATGCTTACCGTTCGTCTCGCTTCGATGCTGGCAAGCCAACCATCCAAGATGGCGCAGGGAACTGTGGAGGGGACTAATATGTTTATTATTTAAGTGGACAATTTAACCATATTAACGTGGTTCACCACCACACTTCTGTTTCATTATAGACCTTCTTATGTTTGTCCCAATCCCAACTGTGACATACCAATGGTTGATCACGTGCGGTACTTCGCTCACGGTAACGGATCGGTGTATATTCACATGAAGAACTTAGAGTCACCCATACCTGGATTCCAACATACCATCTTGACCTGGAGCTGGTGTAAAGAATGTAAACAGGTGAGTCAACATGCACTTTTGCTTTATGAATCAAGGGGATGTAGCGATAGTGTACATGCCTCTCATAGCTAGAGTCCCAGGTGTGACTCCTGGACACGGTATTATACGTGAGTAGAGTGTCTTGGGTCTCAGAGGGTTTTCCAGTGTTCCACCCCCTTTAAATGAAATCCAACTAAATTCCAATTCGATTTGTGCCAGAGTTAGCCGTGCCCTGACTTAGATATGCCCAGAAGTTGTTTCAGTGTTCCATCTGTCAGTTAGCCGTGCCCTGACTTAGATCAGCCCAGAGGTTGTTTCAGTGTTCCATCTGTGAGTTAGCCATACCCTGACTTAGATCAGCCCAGAGGTTGTCTCAGGATGTGATCTGTGAGTTAGCCGTGCCCTGACTTAGATCAGACCAAAAGTTGTCTCAGGATGTGATCTGTGAGTTAGCCGTGCCCTGACTTAGATCAGACCAAAAGTTGTCTCAGGATGTGATCTGTGAGTTAGCCGTACCGTGTCTTATACCGCCTAGAGGTCGTTCAGGGTTCAATCTGTGACATAGCCGTGCCCTGACTTTTCTTCCAATATAAATTTTTTGTTCGTTTTTGTTCTATTTGTTTCCGTTATTACTCAGGTGACGCCTATCGTGCCGCTGTCCAGTGATGCATGGGCTCTTTCTTTTGCTAAATACATCGAGCTTCGGTTCTACGCTGACCAGTACACCAGACGAGCAAGCGTTGAGCCGTGTGGCCACTCCTTACATCAGGACCACTTTCAGTACTTTGCCTATGCTAACATGGTGGCTTCGTTCAAGTGAGTATGAAATCGCAAGATAAGAAGAAAGATATAGAGCTTTAAATTGTGACGTCAATCGTATGGATAAACGACTTCTGGGTCCAAAACGAAAAGCATTTTTTAGAGATTTTTCTTAGTTTTTCTTCAGGGTTCGTTGTCCAATGTTCTAATTGTTTTAGGTGAAGGTTCGATTTTAAGACATCTTTAGCACGACGTTTTTGCTAGGTACCGTAAACCTCAAACTGCAGTTCGTCGTCAGGCCTTTTCCATCAAACTTTCGACAATTAGCAAGGCATTATAACGAAGTTAATCCTGGAAGAGTTGCCATATTGAATTTCATTGATACTGAGTGTTTCTCCGTGTTTGCGGGAGATTTTCAGGGCATGATTCCCAGCGGTTAGTGGTTAGCGGTAAACAATGATAAAGGTCTCATTGAGAACATTTTTCGCTTTATCTTTTTGTGAGCAGTTTGAGCCGGAAATACGTCACAACTTAACGGCTCTATAGGGGGTTTGCACCATCACGTGCTGGCGGCCATGATAGATGGCAAAACAACAGAATACCTTTACTCTCGGAAATTGCATTCTTAATCGTGTAAAACGTTTGTATTGTTCCTGCCATCCAACATGGCTGCCGTCACGTGATGGTGCAAAACCTGTATGAAAAGGGGTTTCAYGGTAGCCGAGTTTGTGGCACGAACAAGCTAATGTTTTGGCATGAAAACAGTGTTTTATAGAAATTAATGATCATTTGTCTCTAGCTTAAAGGAACTCGGAAAAAAGTAAGAGTCTTTGATAGGAACATTTAAGTTACGTCCCAAATGAGAAAAAAATATACCCCGGTGCTATTTAATAAGGCGGCCTTGAAACACCTATGAAGAAGTTAGAGCTTAGAGCTCATGAATATTCATAGACAATAAAATATGTCTTGTCTTTAGGTACCGAGCCATCAAGTTATACGAAACAGCCATTCCTCCTCCGTTGATTTCGGCGAAAGACGAAGTGCGGGATGCTACTTACTGGGTGCAAGACGTGGAAGCTATCTCTATGAGGTATCTCTAATGGCCTGTGTTTCCCAGTATGAGGTCACAGTAATAATGATTCACCTTTATAACTTCAAAAACGCAACATTCAAATGAAGAAATATTTCACCATTCAACTATTCACTCCATGTAGAATCAATATACTAACGTTATCGTATGGCTTTAGGTGCACTTTGAGTTTTAATTTTTATGTCAGTATTTTTTATCGTTGTTGAATTTGATGATGTTTCATTCATTCATATTTTCATTTATTTTATTATTCTTTTAAGGGGAGATACAGTATTTGCAACAATACTTGAAAGATTAGATACTCTAAAAGCGGCCAAATTAGATTTTCATGCACCTGAGCGTGACTCCAAACTAGCCCAGTTCACGGTTCAGCTTGAGGTTAGTCCTTTCGCATAGCAAAATATCTTAGGTTGATTAACGTAATCCATTGTATTTGAATTACTTGATGTTAACTAATTAGATAAAAGGTAGTTAACAAGGGCAGTTCGTTGACTTTGTTCGTTCGTTTGTTTCCATTCTTTGATTCGTTCGTTCGTCTGGCCCTCCTTTCATCTGTCTCTACTTCGTCTGTCTGTCTGACTGACTGGCATACTCTGTCTCTCTTTTCAGTGTCTATCCGATTTTCATTGTCTGGCTGTCTGTCTGTCTGTCTCGTTTTGGTCTGTTTCCGGTCATCCATTCGTCGTTTTCATTTGTTTATTTATATTTGCTCTTGTCCAGGAGGACCACGCCCGATTTACCGAACAGGTACAAGCAGTAGACAAGAAAGTAAAGGTGTTAGAAAGTCTTCAACATCCACTAGACGTATCGAGCTTTGATCAACGGGACCAGCAAGCACTAGGATACGTGATCGCTGACGGTGTTAATGGCCTGAAGAGAATCCTGTGTGAAACTGTGGAGAACTGGAATAACAGGTTTGACTTTCTAGACAAGCTTCACGGGGGTGTTACCCAGTGCAATTTAGCCTTGGTGAAACTTTCGTCGCGAGAACGTTTCACGATGAGTAGAACTGCTTTCTACTCGCGCAACCGAAACTTGTGTCACAACAAGTTTAAGGACGGAATTGCGCTGTGTTACACCCCCGTGAAACTTGTCTTGCGACGCTTTTGCACACAAGTTTCAGCTAAAAGTTTCAACGTGTAACAGTGCCTTTATAATATTCATGTACAGAATGGATAATATTTCTTATTATATAGATATCGATGAAATACCAGGGTTTTTTTAGTGTCGAAAACTTGATATCTTTCACCAGTGGAAGATACCATATCTTTCACACGTGAAGATATCGCTGTTGAATCGGCTTGCTATTTTAATAAAGAATTTTTGAGCTTTTGTTTTATTTAAGTTTCATCGATATCTATATAATAAACAGAACATTACATGGCCGCTTGGAGATACGAATTTTATCTTCTCGTGTTCAATTTAGATATCTCACTCGTTCGCTGCTCTCACTCGTGAGATATCAATTGAACACTCGAAGATAAAATTCGTATCTCCGCGCGCCCATGTAATATCCTCTATATATTTCTTGATATTTCTTTATAAGCAAGGAAAGGGGATTTCAAATTCAAATGACAAAGTTTATTAAATATAATATTGAGGAATGTCATTAGTAGATATTATGACACTAAATAAAACGAAATAACTGCACGTTCAACTGTACAATAGCGCAGCGCAGCCGTGACGTCATAAAAACGAAGACAAAGGCGAAATTCGGACAAACAAACTTACAAGTTTACTTTCAGCAGATAATTTTGTTGATAACTAAGTTGATCTTAGTTTACATGGGTTATTATTGTAACTTTAAGTAAGAATAATAAAATCGGTTCGTATAATCCTCGTAGCGGTTAAACAGAATACAATGTTTGTCTGAATCTTTAAGCTATTTTTAGAATCAGTGCGCTTCGCTATTTAACCCTTTCGTTCCTTTTCACTCTTGCTGTCAGGCTCCAAGAATTTATCCAAGTTGAAAAGAAACGAACGAGTAAGACAGGAAGCCAACGCGATGTCAAGCCTGGAGATAAAACTGATAATGTAAGACTTGATGTTTAACTTGTTTGATAATGTGACGTGTATCTCTGAAGACCAGCTAAGTCAACCATTGCACGCTGACTAGCAAGATTTTAGAGCCGTCATTTTGCGCAATCCCCGAAAGGAATTATGGGTCAACTATTTTTTGTTAGCATTTTGTAAGCAGGGACTAAGTACAATGTGCATTTCTCTTGTCGACTGAAATCAGAATTGAAATGGAATTCCGCCAAACAAAAGAACGGGCGTAGATAAGTCAGTTTTTACACGCCGCTACTTTGAGATCACGTGAAAGTAATTTTAAAGAAGGAGGGAGGTTGATGAAAGTTGGCACCCTCGGCTTTCTTTAAACCAGGCTTGCTAAATAGACCTATAGATTGGGATTCACTTTATTTACTTGCTAATAAGGTATTAAATTTTAACAGAGTTTGAGTGCTAAAAGTATGGAAGATTTTAAAGATCTCTCCGAAGACCTGACCCAATTTGCTATGGCTGCACCGGGCCTTTCTCCTGCTTTTTCTCCGTGGAATTCAAGAAATACTTCACCATTTGTACCAACTGAAGGGTCAGATTCGGACTTAGATATCCAAGCTTCAGATGTAGACTCGAGCAAAAGAGATATGTACTTTAATCCTATCGTCACGACAGATGACTCCGTGAAGAAGGATGACAGGAATGAAGTGTTTGAAGGAAGCCTTACCCTAGACAAGAAAGATGATGCAAATGGTGACACAGATGAAACAGGTGACGGTAGTGACGTRACAGATGAAGGAAAGCCTTTTGTTCGTGATCACAGAAGAGTGATGTCACTTCCGCCTCATATCAGAATCACTGGAAGTTTGAATACTCTTGACATCCAATCAGTCGAGAACTTAATGATAACAAAGAGTGTAGGGGGACTCGTACGTAGCAGAAGTGACACCAATATATCCGTCTTCGAAAAAGAGACAGAGACAAAGGTAGCGTGCCTACTGCTAAGAGGGTATTTATTTATTAGAGATAAGGAGGGATACACTGTGTAGCAGCTCAAAGAAGTGTAGGATTGGGGGACCTTACCCTTCCCTTTGAATCGCTACGCAGGTCAAGGAGGGAGCTAGGGGTGTAAAAATGTCACCTGTAATTATTCAAGTATAGAAAGTTCTTTGATGGAAATGTCTAGTGTAAGAAAAGGAGAAATCACAATATTCCATGGAAACTGTGTGATTCAGTGGTAGTGCTGTCGCCTCTCCCTTCTGGGGTCTTAGGGGCCGTTCAATTTTTACAGGCATGGGTGTGTGTGTGTGTGTGTGGGGGGGGGGGGGTAAGATTTAGAAGGGCCACATAAAAAATATAACACTTAAGGGGAGGACACCCCCAAAATGACTAGCTAAATATAATTTTTTATTATTATACTGTTTTAATAGGGGGCCACGTAAAAAATCAGGTTAGGAATGTCCGTAATAAGCGGTTCCTTAGGTTCCCGGCTTTCCTGGACTCGAATCAAGGGACAGAGCTAACAAACTCTCGACCCATGACTAACAAGTAACAGTGTTACTTGTTAGTCATGGGTCGAGAGTTACTGTTACTTGTTAGTCATGGGTCGAGAGTTTGTTAGCTCCATCCCTTGATTCGAGGGGTTTTCTTCTGGTGTCCTTTCTCCGCAAAACCATAATTTCTAATCGATCAGTACACTGACTTTGATTATCCCAGTGGTTGATGTATTATGCATTCCAAAAGACAAATATTTATGAATGATTTTTTTTTTCTTTAGAAAAAAACTTTATTGGAATCTTTAGTCAATTCAAGTCCTTCTGTTACCCTTACACAAAAGGAAGAAGTTGAAACGAGTGAGCTGATGAAACGTTTCAAACCGCGACCTGTCTCTTTGCCGGATTCAACGACAAAAAGTAAACAGCTCAAAAAGATCTGTTCTTTTTAGTGGTCTATAGATGTTTTGTACCAGCCGGCACCCATAATACAGCTTGGACTGCCTGTGGTTAGATGGCAGAACAATAAAATCCCTTTGCTCTCGGGAATTGAATTCTTTCTCATGTAAAACGATTTGTATTGTTCCTGCCATCTAACATGGCTGCCGTCACGTGATGATGCAAAACCTCTATAGTGTAGGGATATCCCTTTTGCATTATGGCGTCGTTTTTCTTTCAGAACCAGAATCCATCGCTCTTTTTATTTGGTTCACTTAAATTAGTACCAATTATCTTCCTATTCTCAAAGAATAATAATAAAAAAATTAATAAGAAAGAATGTCCACGGAGCATACAGGTAGTGATAGTAAAATGACGTCGTCAAGGAAGCGTCTTAAATATTTTATTTGATTGGTTTAACTTAGCCTACCATTCCTGATTCCTGTTGACGTATCATTATCTGAGAAAAAAATGTTAGCCAATCAGAATCGAAAAAAAAAATGTTAGCCAATCAGAATCGAAAAGAAAATGTTGGCCAATCATTAGAATCGGAAAAAAATCTTAGCCAATCAGAATCGAAAAAAAATTCAAGGTGGTGCAACTTTCCCACTTAATAAGCGCTTGATAACAGTGACACGATAATTCATGACTTTTATATTTTTATTTTAATGGCGGTCACTGATCTTTTTATTTTTCGTTAGTCAATTTGCAGGCTTCATGGCACCTCATTTTAGCAGTGACGTCATTTCTACGTCACTATTTCATACATTGCGGATGACGCCACAGTGTCAACACATTGATCTATTAAAAAATATTGGTAGTTTTATGAGGATAAATTATTAAGGTATTTCTTTCCCTTTTTTTTTTCTTTTCTACAGAGAACGCAGAACAGGATTCGCCAATAGCTTCGGTTGATGGTAACAAAAATCTTCTATTCGTTTCACATTTGCTGACTCGACATGACGTGACTTGAGTTGACTTGAGACAGCACTACCTGACACGACGTCACATAACTTAAAAAGGCACAACTTGACGTGACTTGACTTGAGATAACGCAACGTGACTTTGATAATGTGCGATGCCGGTTACTTAACGTGACTTGAAGTGTCGTGACATTTGACAGTTGCTGACTCGAGGTGAAATGACTTTATTCGACGTGATGGATTGATTGATTTTTTTTTTCCAAAAAAAAATATGTTTGGGTATAGGAACGCCTGCAATCCGAAGAAGAGACAAAATGAAAAACATCATCTCATCTTTCCTTCCTGGATCAGCCTTCCAACCAGTTGCGTCTTCCTTGTAAGTACTATATTTGATCATTTCTAGAAGAAATGTTTCTTCACTTTGTTCAAAGGCAAACCAAAAGTTCATATTTTACAGTGATAGCGATTTAAGGATATTTGTACGTAAAGAATAGAGTTTGGCATGCCACTGAAAAGTATAACTGTGATAATGCCGTGACAGTGCACGAACAGTCGTTACCTTGACCGAAACGCACTATAACCGTGACAGTGCACGGACATGCCGTGACCGTTATAGTGCAGTGACAGTGCATAAACAGTCGTTAACATGACCGTAACGCACTATAACCGTGACAGTGCACGGACATGCCGTGGTCGTGATAGTATCGTGACAGTGTACGAACAGTTTTTATCGTGACCGTAACGCGCTATAACCGTGACAGTGCACGAACGTGCAGTGACCGTGATTTTAGAGATGTACCGTGGCGCACAATAAGAATCGACCTTTCACAGACGTACGAAATATATCCTTAATTTGTTAATCTAATCTTATCATAAGCATCTTACTYGTGTTTTTGTCTTTACCAAGTCCAAGTCACGAGCACCATCTTCTTCCTCCTGGTGAAAGAGTATTTGTTGTAATCAGCGAGAAAGAACCAAGTTCAATCATTGCTTACGCATTAAGGTGTGTGCCAAATACCTGTCATTAGAAACTTTCTCACGAAACTTTATTGTCTTGCTTATAAAACTTTGAGCTAATGAAGTGTGATTCCCAAGAGTTTCAAGTATCCTGACAAAATCTATCAAATTTGATATGTCATTTTTAACGGTCTAAGAGAACTAGAAAGAGGAATTACCCCAAAGGGGTCGTAGATCGACATTTACTACGTTCAAGCGGTTTATAATTTCATTGGCTCTGACTTTCATTAGCAAGTAAAATTTCCCTTGGTTTGACCCCACCCCACCCCACCCCTGTCCCAAAAAAAGACATCTGGGGCTCGATATAATTTAGTTGCATTTAGTTTTTTCACTATGATATTTCAGCACCAAAGATTACAACCATCATTTATG